AGTGGGTGCTGAGTGCTGAGTGCCAGGGGCACTGGCAGTGGGTGCTGAGTGCTGAGTGCCAGGGGCACTGGCAGTGGGTGCTGAGTGCAGCAGGTAGGCACACTGCAGTCTGACTTACTCTGTCCTGCGACCTCTGCTCCTGAGCAGAAAGTCAAGGACTAACGTCAGGGCCCTGTGATCAAGTGCCACCAGCCCGGCACCTCACTGCAGGTGTGACGTGGCAGCTAGCTTGCCTGCTGTAGGGAGAGGGACGCCACACACGTTATCCTGATGAGAGATTTCCCACTTACCGTGAGAGAGAGTTCTCCCGACCCCCCACCTGTGCCATCCCTCAGCGCCCTGTGATGACCACACGGAGGCCGTGCCCAGCCTGTGCCCTGTGGTGACCACACGGAGGCCGTGCCCAGCCTGTGCCCTGTGGTGACCACACGGAGGCCGTGCCCAGCCTGTGCCCTGTGGTGACCACACGGAGGCCGTGCCCAGCCTGTGCCCTGGCCGGACGCTCTGCAGGTGCATCTTGAGCACCTTCTGTGACCCATGCCCGGGGAAGTGGGGTCGCCTGCTGGCCCTCGCTGCAGTCCTGCCCCAGGCTTGTCCGATGGCAGATGGATAGCTTGAGCTCTGTTTCCTTTTCCCCTCCCCTAATCCTCGATGTCTTGATGCAGGAACCTGCGTGGTAGGTGACACCAGGGCCACCTGGGTGTGCAGACACAGAGCTACGCTCACCGGCTGTGTGTGACCAAGTGAGGGAGGTGAGGAAGAGAGACTTGTGCAGGAAGGGTCCGTTTGCCCTTTGTGGTAAGGGGTCTGTGTGTTTTGCTCGTCCTGGCTCCCAGGCACCTCCTGCCGCAGCTGCAGTGGACAGAGCTTGGGAGATCCAGCAGGACAGGGCAGGTCCTTAGTTAACCCAGGTAACTCGGGCATCCAGGCGCCCTGGCCTGCTTTGCCATGTTTAGCCCTGGGCTTGTGTTCTGAAGGGTGAGGGGTAGGTGCTGCCGTACCCTGCCAGCCCACTCCTTGCCCACCGGGACACAGCCAGAAGGTCTCCCTCTGCCTTCACAGTAAATGAAGGAAACCTGTCAAATGCACTCACAGCTTTCATGGTGTGTATTTCCGTGAGCCTCCTGACACAGGCTGTGTGCCGCGGCTGCAGGGTCCTGACACCAACAGAGCTCCCTGTCGTCCACCCCGGCGCCCGCTGCAGCTGGCCTGCTGGTCCCCAGGTCCCCCACGGTGCTTGGCAGAAGGGACTGCCCCTGGCTGCCCGTGTGTGTGCCAGCCACATTGGAGGAAGTTAGAGTCTGCCGTGCTAGGCATCAGATGAGGGGGCAGGATCTTGCAGCGATGCCAGCAGCTGCTGGGTGCTGGGAAGCTGGAGCTCATCTAACCTGCTCTCCTTGTAGTCTGAGCTCAGCCAGTGCTCCCAGCTCTGCGTCCGCCCGACCCCGGCCAGTGCTCCCAGCTCTGCGTCCGCCCCACCCCGGCCAGTGCTCCCAGCTCTGCGTCCGCCCGACCCCGGCCAGTGCTCCCAGCTCTGCCTCCACCTACAGCAGCGTCAGTCCCGGCGGCAGAGCAGATGGGCACACGGGCTGGCCGGTTATTTGTATGCTTGCTTGTGTCCTGCCTCTGGGAGGCTCGGTGCGGCCCTGCTGCAGTGGATAAAGGCAGCCTTAGCCTCTCTTTGTCTTGGTTCCCGCCAAGCCCGGGCTGTGAGGAGGGTCGTGGCCGCTGCCTGCTCGGCCTCTGCCAGCCTGCATCTGGCCGCCCATGGCAGTGAGCTCTCCAGCCCGTCAGGCTGCAGGCTGTGCGGCCTCGGAGGCCTGCGGGTTACCACTTTGAGAGAGTCTGTCCGACTCTTGACAGAGAAGCAGTCTGCAGTGCTTTTTGCCTTCTCAATCCCCAGGCAGAGTGTCTAATGAAGCAGGTGAAACTGCCCTTAAGATTATGTAAGCGAATATTTTTTGTTGCATTTTAAAGCAAGGTCAGATTTGTTTTTCTTTGTTTCTTGAAGGTAGACTTTGTGTGTTTCCCCCATTTTTAGAAAGGTAGATTTTTCATGGAACAGGGCTGCGCAGCACAAACCCTTCAAGACAAGGGCGAGGCTGGTCCACGCGCTGTGTGACGGGGCTGAGGAGGTCTTGTGGGACACCCTCAGGGGACTGTGCCCAGGGGAGGGGTCAGCGTGCGTCGTTGCACGTGGCATGACAGGCACGTTGGCTGATGCATTCTCTTGGTAGGAGGAGTCCCACGGCAGGGCAGGTGTGGTGGCTCGTGGGTGAACGCTGGCATTCCATGTGGGAGTGCCACTTCAGCCTCGGCTCCTCTGCCTCTGACCCGGCTCCTGTAACTGAGCCCAGGAAAGCGGCAGAAGCCGGCCTTGGATCCCTGCACCCAAGGGAGACCCAGTTGATGTTGTTGGCACCTGGCTTCACCCTGGTCCAGCGGGTAGAAGATTCTCTCTCCCTCTCTTCCTTTTCCTCTCCCTCTATCCCTCCCCCAACTTGGCATGTGCCACTCAGCCTTTTGAATAAGTAGCTGATCATTCGGGACTGTCCTGTGGAGCTGGCTTGAAGCAGGCGCCCATTAGAGCGTGCCCCCAGGACTCACCTGAAGCCATGGCCGGTTACTGGGACCCCGTGTCTTCAGAGGTGCCCATGGTCTCCTTGAGTGGGCTTTTTGGCTTAACGACAGTCATCCTCTTTAGGAGGGTCTATCTAGCATGAGCCAGCTGCTTTGCTGAACATCTCAATCTGTGGTCTGTGGCTTCACCAAGAGCTGCAGTAAGACCACCCCGCTTCCGGACCTGGGGATGTGGCGCCAGCCCTGTGTGAAGCCCTGTGGTCACAGGGTTCTGTCCCCCCGAGTCTCGTCACCTCGCTGCAGCAGGCGGCCGACGAGCCTGCCTTCCTGCAGAAGCCGTGCAAGCTGAGCCCATCCCTCTCAGGTTCACCTTCGTGCTGGGAAATGCGGGCGTGCGCACCTTGAGCCCTGCACCTTCTCTGGGTGGGAGAGAATGTGCCTTCATGACAGGGCTTCTTGGCCACGCGGTCAAGTGGCAGTTGGCTGGGTGACGCTTGGTGCTGGCTGTCGGTCGGAGGCGACGTGCTGATTCAGCACAGCACAGTGTCTTAGGGGAGAGTGGCTTGCACACCAGGCCAGTGCTGCTGTGCTGCAGTGGGTGTCACTTTCTGATCACCCCAGCCCTTCAGCTAGGATGCGCACAGCGACACTGCTTTGAGAACACAGGAAACAGGGTGAGGTGCGTCTTAGGTTGCTGCTTCCTAGTGGCCTTGCCTGGTGTCACTGAGCCCCGGCTGCAAACGGAAGCACGCATCTTGGGGGCGTGCTTGCAGTTGTTCTAGCTTAGTGACAGTGTCACTAACGCCTCCTTCCTAGGGCTGTTTTATTTTTGTTTTTAAAAGATTGATTCTTTGAAAGGTGGAGTTACAGAGAGAGGGGTAGACAGAACACCTGACCTCTGGTCCCCTTGCCAGCGGAGGCAGCGGCTGGGCCGGGCGGAGTCATGGGCCTCTCCCCTGTGGTACAGGGGCCCAGGCATGTGGGTCATCTGCTGTGTGTACACACTCGTACACACACGCACAACTCTTAGCAGCTGCGCTGGGGCAGGCACGTGAGCAGGGCGCTAGATTGGAACCAGCACTCACATGGGATGCAGGGTCCTTGGGTGGTCCCGGAGCCCTCTGGGTAGGGCTGGCTCTTCTCTGAGCTGGGAGAGACTGTCCTGAGAAGGGAGATGGAAGAGGGAGATGAGGGGACTGTCCCAGAGCATCTCCCAGCCCGAGGATGCTGACAGTGTCCCTGGGTGTCCCCATCCTTCCTGAAGAGTGGTGACAGTCAGAGCGAGGAGGTAGCCCCAAGTGTCACTGCCCATGTGCGATGTGCTGGTCCCGACCATTTTTAGATTGCTGGGTGAGTGGGCGTGTCTCCTGAGCCGTGGAGGTGAGTGGGGTGCTGGACATCTTGCTGCCCAGAGTGGATCACCGTGTGTGGTGTGAGAGTGCTCACGCACAGTGTGTGTACTGAGGTGTCGGACTGCCCTGGGAATAGCCACATGACACAGGCTTGCATGTCACACCACACCCCGTGGACACACACAGCTGGCTGTATGCCCTGGGAGCCTCCATCGCAGCACCTGCAGTGTTGGGCTGTGTTTGTTAGCTTCCAGGGCCCCAGCGCAGCCACGGCGTCACAGCTGGGACACTGCTGCAGCTGGTAACAGTTGTGCATATGTACGTGTGTGTGTGCACACCCCTGTCCTCCCTGGCTGTGAACCCGAGGTTTCCAAGAGCAGCAAAGACTTGCATGTGCTGTCGAAGGGGTGCTCTTCCGTGGGCAGTGTAGCAGGCAGGCTGCTCAGAACCCAGGAGAGGGGACGGGCTGGGGGGTGCAGCGGGTTAGGGTCTCCTGGAGAGGGGACAGGTTGACCGGGGGGCCGGGTCAGGGTCTCCTGGAGGAGAGGGACCAGGCTAGGGGTGCAGTGGGTCAGGGTCTCCTGGAGAGGGGACAGGTTGGTCAGGGGGCCGGGTCAGGCTCTCCTGCAGTTTCTGCCTATTTTGCCTTTGTCCCAGGGGGCTGAGTTATGTTTCATATGCTTGAGGGCTTCTCCCGCTGCCTCTGTGCTTTCTGCTATCGGATTTTCCCATCCTGGAATAGCCTGGCAGTGGGACACGTGAGGAGCAGGGGAGCTGTTGACGATTGGAGGGGGCTCTGCCAGGTGGGAGGGGCAGGGATGGGAGCTGAGGGGTGTGGGGAAGTCCCACTCATGAGCCCTAAGTGTTACAGACCCAGGGTGCACCTGTGTGAGGTGGGAGGAGCAGGGGAGGTTAGAGGTGGGAGGGGGCCGTGGAGGATGAGGGAATGGCCAGGGCGTTGAGGATGGGAAGGGGAGTAGGGAATGGGAGAGGTGTTGGGGGGGGGGTGCATGGGGAATGGGGGAGGGGCAGGGGAGGATCTTGGGGGAAGTAGGGCCGATAAGTGGGAGCGGTGTGGGAGCCCAGCCCCGGAGGGTGCAGACCCTGGGCCCACTCCATGCTGTGCTGACAGATCTCAACACCCAGGCTCAGTACTCGAATCAGCGAGCAGGGCTTTCTGGCATCTCCCCCATCCTCACCCTCATCGTGGGGGTGCTCTGTGGGGTTCCCACCCTGCTGTCCCCAGCAGCGCGTCCCGGGAGCGTTGCGCCCCCGTGGCCTCACGCCCTGACTGTGTCCTTGTCCCTGCAGGTGCACCCGGCCCCCGTGACCCACAGCAAGGTGGATCTGCCTCGCGTGCCCAGGGGAGGACGATGTCGGCTTGTCTGTAGAGATGGTCTGCCGTTCCGCCCGGCGGAAGCTGAGCGAATGAGACTATGGGCTGTGCCTCCGCCAAGCATGTCGCCACTGTTCAGAACGAAGAGGAGGCCCAGAAGGGGAAGAGCTTCCAGAATGGAGATGTATTTGGTGGTGAGTGCCCAGCAGGCGGTGGAGAGCAGTGTGGCCAGGCCCAAGGGTGGTGGGACCCTGTGGAGAGCAGTGTGGCCAGGCGCAAGGGCGGTGGGACCCCGTAGGGGGTGGGTGCTGGCTTCCTGCCCTGGTGAGGCGGCGTGCCTGGTGGGGGACACTTCTTGTGCCCATGTCGGTGCCCAGGGTCTGGTTTCTGAGCCCTGCTGCCCACCCATGCTGAACTCGGAAGGCCATGCTGATGGCTGCACGAGTCACTCCCGTGGCAGGACTGGGCAGCTCTGTTCCCAGCTTTGGCCCAGCCTGAGCTTCGTGGACAGTGCTGGCATTAGGGCGCTTGGAATTCTTTTTTTTTCTCTTGCTGTATTTTTCCTGCCTCTTGAATAAGTAAGTTTTGTTTCTTAGATGAGCCAGTGCGGATTCAGTAAGTGTGTGGGACAGCGGTGTCCCAGAGGGAAAGGATAGCTAAAACCACCTCAATGCCGTGGCCGAGGACTGGTGCCTGATGGTCACGGTTGACACAATGACACCCAGAAACAACGCATATAACAGCCACATCGCAGCTTCTTGTTGGTGGTCCACACCCTCCCGCAGCGTCCGGTGCTGGAGAAGACACGGCACGTGTCATGGTGGGAGTCCAGGGCGGCTGGGCTGCCGACCAGGGCATGGCTGGGCCGGTGTGTTGAGCTGGCATGCAGGTCCTTGGGGATGTAGCCCTGTTGGGGTGAGGGAAGACCAGAGGTTGGATGGGACATGACATGAAGGACCAGCCACCAGTCTGCATGCCATGGGAGCGGGGAGAGGAGCGCTGGGCAGGAAGTCAGGCTGCGGTCACCAAGAACCTTGGCTGATGAGGTTGGAGGATGAGCCAAGTCGCAAGAAAGATGATGAGGTTTCTCGGCAGCACACTCGGTTTCCAGGATCGCGGCAAGGCCTTGACACCTGCCTCCTCCTTGGGTTATGGCTGGGGCAACCAGGCAGGGGAAGAGGAATAATTGGCGGCCTTCCCTGACCTCAGGGCCCCTTGGCAGCAAGGGCTTCTCCCTGATCTTCCTGTGGGACAGAGGGCAGGATTTCCGCTGTGAGTGGTGCTGGCACTGGCCCGGTGCCCCCCTCCCTGCCACATGGCTCTGCCCAAAGCAGCCCGGTGCCCTGTCCCCATGTGCCCAGCCGAGGGTGAGAGTGCAGGCCTGCTGGGCCGTCTTTGTGTGTGTCCCTCTGGTGTGGTTTCCAGCCTGCATCCACTAGTCCTCTGCTTCCCCCATGAGCCAGGTCCCTGGCCAGGACATGAAGCCTCCAGGCATCTTCAGACCTGGGCTGGGAAGCCAGCTGTGTCCCCTGGGATCTGTCTGGTGGGTCGGCCCAGGTCCCAAGAACAGCGGTGGGGTAGGGCGGTGGGTGTGGAGATCTGCCACGTGCAGGCATGGCCACCTGGACACGTGGTGGGGACTGCGTGGCTGGGCTGGACACCAGCCTGGCTAAGGCCACTCGCCTTCTCAGACCCTCCTGTTCCTCCTAAGTGAAGTGGCTCTGTGCTCTTCTGCTGTTACCTGTGTTAAAGGGTTTGAAAAACACCATCGCCACCCAGTCTGCCATGGCGTGGAGGCTGGGATCTCCAGGGAGGACTCCAGAGCCTGTGGGGTAGAGCTGGCCCAGCTCCCAGGCTCCCACACCCGTGCTCTGTGCACATCTCACTCGGTCTGTGCTGTGCACACACCAGCCTTTTCCATAAGCGTGTTGATTCAGAAGCCTGGGGCTCCTGTGCAAGCAGGAATGTCTGTCTCTGGCTGTGGAGGAGCTGGGCTGTACGAGTGTGAGGTGGAGCCCTGAGCACTTGGTGGCAGACACATGATGTGGCGGTGGTCATTAGCCTGGGCGCCCACTCTGACTTGCTGCAGAACTCCAACCTGGGCTTCTGCTCTTGCAGAAGCTGGGTCCACAGCAGCCCTCGGTGGCCCTGTTCCTGCAGAAGCAGGGTCCACACCAGCCCTCGGTGGCCCTGTTCCTGCAGAAGCGGGGTACACACCAGCCCTCAGTGGCCCTGCTCCTGCAGAAGCGGGGTCCACACCAGCCCTCGGTGGCCCTGCTCCTGTAGTAGTGGGGCCCGCACCAGCGCTCCACGGTCCTAACAGGTGTGCGTTGTGGTCAGCAGACCTGTTGAAGTCGTGGGGGTGGCAGCCTGTGGCAGGTGGACAAGGCGCAGTTCAGGCTCCCAGGAGCATGTGCGGCCAGTTCTCAGGAGAGCCAGGTGCTTAGGGGACACCCCAGTGGATGCAGGGCACTGAGCCAGGCCCGTCCAGAAGTTAACTGTCACGGCAGCCTCCTGGGCCCAGGGGCTTCCCTCCATTCTTCCTGGAAGGCCGGTCCTTTCCTGTCCCTCTTGTCGGGAGCAAGGAAGGGTGGCTGGTTCTTGGGGCTGCTGCAGTGGGGGCGTCTCCCCCGGAGTGGTTGGGGGTATATTAGCTGGTGGTGCCGCATTTGCATCCCGTGGCAGCACTCCACGTGGGAGAGGGCATTGTAGCACCTGAGGGCTCCTGATAGGTTTCTGGTCAGCCAGCCCTCGGCCTGGGGCGGGATCGTGGTGCAGCCTGGGTGTGCTTCTCAACTGGTGCATGTGGGCGGCAGGTGCAAGAGAATCCAGTGTCTTGCCTGGCTTAGAAGGGACAGCAAGTGGCTCAGAAGCCCTGTCAGTGTCCACTGGGAAGGCCCAGTCCCGTGTGCTCCTGGGTGAGGCTCGTGGCAGGGGTCAGCATGTCTCCGAAAAGAAGCCCAGGGAGCTTCCTCTCCCCCTTCCCCAGGTGGGGTCCCTGTGAGAGCACACAGGCTGACCCCGGCCTGTGCCCTGCACTGTGAGACCTAAGTGGTACCATGGCTGCTGCCACGTTGTGGTAGGTCAGACATGGACAGTGGGAGACATCCACGTGGCCAGCCGCAGGCTTGGGGAGATGGGAAACCCAGAGGGACTCCGGCCACTATTCATAAACTGGCCCTGTTTCGTCACCAGGACCTGCCTGGTGCCTGCGGGCACTGGGGGTCACTGGGGACAATGGCATCAGTCATGGGTGCTGCCCTGAGCACCTGCTGGGACCTGGAGACCCCAGCACCGCCCTGTGTCTGTGCAGGCCGTGGGGCATCCATGCTGGGGTGGTGATCGGCTTGTGCTCCTGACCACAGGCAAAGCGGCACTCACTGCCAGGCGTGGCAGGACCAGGGCCCCTGTGCCAGCACCTTTCGGCTGGACAGAAAGAACCAGTCTGAGTCCCCTCTCTGCCTTGATGGCCCAGTTTCCTGGCCCCTGCTGTGGATGCCCCTACACCAGTGTCACCACAGGGCATCGGGCCTAGGGCTCCGGGAAAGCATGGGCCTGTCGGAGTATGCCGCTTCCTCCTCCATTGCTTCTTCCCCTCTCTCTCTTGTGCCCCAAAGCTGTGCTGCCAGGGCCTGGGGACCACCGGGCTGAACTCCAGCCAGGCCCCAGCACCTGGTCTTGGGGGCTCATGGCTGGAGCCACACCTGCCTGGCCCCAGAGCTCCTGGCACCAAACAGGAACGTCTGGTGTTGGGTGATCAGAGTGCCCATGTGACCGTCAGGTGAGGAATCCACCTGGGGAAACTGCATAGTGTACTGGAGCTGATGCTTCCTGCACTGTTTCTAAATAATAATAATAATAATTTTTTTATTTGAAAGGCACAGTTACAGAGAAGGGGGAAGAAGCGAGCGAGGCAGGTCTTCCACCTGCAGGGTCCGTGGTCTCAGTGCTTGTCCTGTTGTGGCCATACAGTCCGCATCTTTCCTGCGGTTAAACAAGCCTTGCTCAGGGACGCCGAGCTTTCCTGCTGTGAAGATGGGACTGCTCCGTTTGTGCCAGGACTGCAGGCATGCCCCGGTGGGGGCTCACTGTGACATCAGGCACTGCTGAGCGCCAAGCACCATGCTGAGTGTGGTTTTTTTCTTGATTTTTAACATGCGCATACAGGGAACAAGTCGCCTGTATTTCCCGGATGCAGATCAGAGCGCGGTGACGCTCCTACTGCCCCGCTGCTCTCCTCCCGTGGGTTGGACTTTTCACAATGCTGGGACTTTCTCCCATGATCCTGCTGCATCTTCAGCACCATACAAGCTCGGCCTGTTTCACAAGGGAGGGACCTGCCCTATTGATCCCTTAGCTTGCTGCCCTGTCCACAGGTCCTCTCACGGCGTCAGTCCCCCAGCTTCCTGCCCTGTCCATGGGTCCCCTCACAGTGTCAGTCCCCCAGCTTCCTGCCCTGTCCACAGGTCCTCTCACGGCATCAGTCCCCCCAGCTTCCTGCCCTGTCCATGGGTCCCCTCACGGTGTCGGTCCCCCAGCCTGCTGCCCTGTCCACAGGTCCCCTCACAGCGTTGGTCCCCCAGCTTCCTGCCCTGTCCATGGGTCCCCTCACGGCATCGGTCCCCCAGCCTGCTGCCCTGTCCACAGGTCCCCTCACAGCGTTGGTCCCCCAGCCTGCTGTCCTGTCCATGGGTCCCCTCATGGCATCGGTCCCCCAGCTTCCTGCCCTGTCCATGGGTCCCCTCACAGTGTCGGTACCCCAGCCTGCTGCCCTGTCCATGGGTCCCCTTGTGGCGTCGGTTCCCCAGCCTGCTGCCCTGTCCATGGGTCCTCTCACAGTGTCGGTACCCCAGTCTGCTGCCCTGTCCATGGGTCCCCTCACGGTGTCGGCCGCAGGAGGATCAGTGTCTCTCTCTGTGTGTACAGTGTGTGAGCGCCCTGGCATTTGGGAGTGACCAGCCAATGGTGGCTTGTTGTGGTGTGTGCACGTGCTGTTTATGTGTGGTGTGTGAGCGCTCAGCGCCCCAGCTCTCCTCCAGCTGCCTCCTCAGTGCCCTTGCCCTTGGCCTGCTGCCTGGCTGGCCTGGCCCTCACCATCTGTTCTGCTCTTCAGTGAGCACTGCTCCTGGCCACCACACCCTGGGCTGCTCAGCTCTCCCCTAGGCACCGCTTCTCCTCCACAGCAGAGAAGGCCTCCAGCCCACCAGCTGCTGCCCTCCCACAGGTAGTCTGGAGCTAGCAGCTGTCTCCATCCCGCCTTCCGCCAGCCTATTTAGAGGAATTAGAGTGGAGGAGAAGTGGATCTTCTTCCATCTGCTGGTTCCCTGCCTGGATGGCCAAGGCTGGGCCGGGGAAGCCGGGCATGGGAGCAAGTGCGATGCCCGGCGTTGCAGGCAGTTTCTTACCCTGCTGTTCCTCTCACGGGGGGCTTTTCCCGAGTGGAATCCAGGTGTGGATGTCCCATTGGAACCCACAGCTAGGAGCACTGTGTGGGCAGCTGAGATAGTTTCTTCCATCTCATGGGACCGTGGGGGCCTCGGCCGTGTGGAAGCGGGGAGTGCTGGGTGTTCTCTGCCGAGGACTCTGCGGGATCCACCTCTGGCCTTGAGCATCTGCACGTGGGGCCCCGCGGAAGGCTCTGGAATGTTCGGCTCCCATCCTTCCAGCCGCTCCCTATGACCCTGCACGGGGAGGCTGCCCTGCGAGGCTGCTGGGCGTCTGATGCCTGCGTGGAGCACATGGCGAGCGTCTCCTCTCTCTCTGGCCCCCAGATGAGTACAGAGTCAAGCCGGTGGAGGAGGTCAGGTACGTGAAGCCTGGGGCCGAGGACGAGCAGAAGATCATGGCCAGGAACCAGGAGAACCTGGTAAGACTGCCTGCCCCTGCTGGCTGACCCTGCGCCCGCCGGGATGGCCTGCCAGAGCCCCTTCCGGCCACTGCTGCATCCTGCTTGTCGCTGACGAGCCTGCCCTCCCCTTGGTGGAAGGGCCCGCAAAGGGAGAGGTGTGGTGTGGGGCAGAGCTCTGGGAGGGCTTGTGGGGGAAATGACTTCCACTTCTGTCCTGGGCCCCGTGCTCCCACCCTGGGTGGGCGTCCTGGGTGGGATGGGGTGGGCCCAGGGCTCCATGCTCCCACACTGGGTGGGCATCCTGGGTGGGACAGGGTGTGCCCTGGACTCCCACACTGGGTGGGCGTCCTGGGTGGGACGGGGTGTGCCCCGGGCTCCATGCTCCCATACTGGGTGGGCATCCTGGATGGGATGGGGTGTGCCCCGGGTCCCATGCTCCCACACTGGGTGGGCGTCCTGGGTGTGACGGGGTGGGCCCAGGGCTCCCACACTGAGTGGGCATCGTGGGTTGGATGCGGTGTGCCCCATGCTTCCACACTGGGTGGGCATCGTGGGTGGGACGGGGTGTGCCTGAGGCCCTGTGCTCCCACACTGGGTGGGCATCCTTGTAGGGCGGGATGTGCCCCGTGCTCCCACGCTGGGTGGGCGTCCTGGGTGGGATGTGAGGTCTGTTATGTGTTGGGAGTCTCCAGAGACACGCTTTGCTGTGTTGCAGTCCGGGGAGCAGAGAGGTGCATCAGAGTGAAGCGGGTCATGGGCAACCTACAGGCTCTCTGTCTCCTGTCATCTCCAGAGTTGATCCCATGGAAGCCAGGAGCAAAATGGCTGTTCCCAGGGGCTGGAGGGGGCTGGCGAAGGGCTGGCTGCCGGGGCCGGCCGGAGCGGGTGAGGGGCTGGTTGGAAGGAATGGACAAGGGCCTGGCAGTCGGAAGGAATGTCAGGAGGCGGGGAGGGGAAGCTGCCAGGGTGCGTAGCAAGGAAGGCTGTCACACATGGTGCTGACAAGTGGCGCATTTGTTAAGAGTGAGGGGCTTGAATGTCGTCACTGTGAAGAAGCAGGACTCGCCTGCAGCCCTCAGCATGCTCGCGCGGCTGTCCGTCTTCGTGCACGCAGGTAGCTGCGTCACAGGGCACGGTAGGCATGTAGGGTGTCCACGTGTCAACTTGAGTATCTAGACATTTGGAGTCTGCACGCTCGGAGGAGACATGCGTGTGTTCCGTTTGTGTCTGACTTGGTCTCTGCTTCTGGTGCTGCTGGACACTTTGTCAGGCGGGGTAAGGTGTCCCGGGAAATTGGTGCAGCTGTGCCGTGTTTTCAATTACCTTGGCCGCCTTGTCCTGCTCCCTGCTTGGTTCCTGTCCCGTGCTCCCATCCTGCCCTGTGTTTCTGAGTGCAGGAACTTGGCTTGCTGAGGTAGCAGCAGCAAGTTCACATTCCAGGTCATTTCCCTGGAGTTCCACGAGGCAAGACTGAACCCCACGAATGAGAGGCAGAGGTCTGCATGCGGGTCGTCATGGCAAGCCAAGACCCAGGCTGCTTCTGGAGACCAGGAATAGGGTGAGGTCCTGCCTGGAGAACTGGCAGATGGCACAGGGGCTGCTTAGGTGCCACGAGGCTGCAGTCTGTGGTAGGGAATGGGACAAGGTGCCCGTTAGGGAAGCAGCAGTAATCAGAACATGCATGGTGCCCTGGGATCCCCCAAGAGCTCAGATCCAATGCCAAAGGTTGGAGGGAGGCCTCAGGTGTGACGAAGCCAGATTGACAGGGCTGCCTGTCGTGGGCAGCCGGAGCGAGGTGGTGGCCACGGGCTGGCTGTCGTGGGCAGCCGGAGCGAGGCGGGTAGCCACGGGCTGGCTGTCATGGGCAGCTAGAGAGGCGGGTGGTCACAGGTTTTGCAGGGGGTGCTGAAGCTGACAGTGCTGGCAGGAAAAGTAGACACGGTGAGCAAGGTCCATGCCAGCCAGCCGTACTTTCTGTTTCTGTGACAGCATCCGTGGGCAGGAGGCATGGGGGACATGTGTGGATGTGTCCCTGACCACAGCGCCAACAAGGAGCCCTCGCACTCTGATATGTCTCAGGTCAGGGCTGTCGCCTAGGAGAGGCGGGCAGTGGCTCAGGGCTTGAGTCCTTGACACCTGTGTGGGAAACCCTGCTCGGGTTCTGGGCTGCTAACATTGGGCTGACCCAGCGCTGGCCGTTGTGGCCATTCAGAGGCAAACCAACAAATGGAGGATCTCTGTCTCTGCTTTTCGAGTACATGAATTCATGATTAATAATTGGATTGAATAGGCCAAGCGGATTTTTGTCTTTAATATTTTTTTCTTCAGGAAATGGGAGTCTATGATTTGTGATCGCAGCTGCTTTTCTTCTGGGCGATGAGCTTGGCCGAGCTGCCGCCAGACGCCCTGCCGACTGTGCCCTGGGCCCTGTGGCAGCCTGGGTCCCTTAGCCGCCCGCTGGAGTGTCAGATGACTGTCCTAGTGGGAAGGGGTGCCTTGGCCCCCACAGGCCTCACTGTCACTGTGTGCTGGCGTGGTCTGAACGGGCCAGCGTGGGCATTCTTGGCCCTGAAGAGCGGCTCACTGGCTGGTAGGTGCTGTGGGTATTTCCTGTGCTTTGCCGAGACGTGGCTCGCTGTGTCCGAGGGCTCTGTGGAGACGAGAAGCCTCGCCTGCCAGCATGTCGCCTGCTGTGATCTCAAATTTGTCCATTCCGTCCGTAGAAGAGCAAGGTGACTTAAGGCCTCCTTGTTAAAGTCCATGATGGCAGAGTGTGGCTTTATGCGTGAGGACAGTGGAATCCAGTGTTGTGTGTGATGACGCCTCGTGCAGTTGGAGATGTCCTGCCCATGGACTGCGCTGCGCCAGTGGCAGGGCCCTGTCGGGGCTTGTTGTCCAAGCCGTGGCCTGCATGACAGCCCGGGGCAGTGCACTGGGCATGAGCTGTGCTTTGCCACCGTGGAGGTAGTGGACAGCCACCGCTGCCAGGCCAGGCCACTGCTCTGTGTGCCTGGTGGGAGTGAGCCGTGTTGCCATGTCCCCTCGGCTGGTCGGGAGCACTCTCGCCATGGCTGGGTGCCTTTGTGCTCTGCTGTGGGCGCTTGCAGGTGACGGGAACGGGAGGTCGGGAGGGGCCTGGACGGGAAACACGTGGATCTCAGCCACGATCAACCTCGGGGCTTTCATGCTTGCAGGAAAAGCAGCGCAGGGGAGCCTCGTGGCCAGGCAGCAATGGCCTCAACTCCTGTTCCCAGCCTGGCATACGAGGCCACTGTGGCTTTGTCATCCACCCTGGGGGACAGCATGGTCTCCAGCCAGTGACTCTGGGGCACCTGAACAGAGCCCACCCTGGGCCCCAGAGCCACTCTGTCTGTGCAGTGTAGGGGTGGGAGTGGAGCTTAATTCTCCAGGGAGGAAGGCTTTGTGGTACTGGCTTTCTCAGTGTCGAGCACTGAGCGTCCCTAGAGCTCCTGATCCAAGCAGTCATGTGGACAGAACAGGTGATGGCCGGTGCAAGGTGTCAGGAGCGCTGCTGTCGCCGGCATGTTGAGAGTCGTGTCTGGCGGTCGTGTGACAGCACAGACAGTGGCCTGGCTCTGAGTCGCACACAGTCCCTGCTCCCAGGGAGGGAGAGCTGTTGTCACCGGAGGGAGGGGAGGTAGCACTCGAAGTGTGCGTCACTGCTGTGTACACGGGAATTGGGCAGTGGGGTGGATTTTTAAAGGGGACGTTGCTGGGCTGACTGCAACCCTGCATACATTCAAGACTGAGTGTGTGCAGGTGCACGTGGCACCTGGTCCTGCATCGACACAGCTCTTGGGGAGCTCTATGTGGCTGAGGACACAGCCTCACTGCAGGCCGTGACCCTGCAGGAATGGGAGGGTGGCCTGGACCCGGCTGTAGCTCATAGGCTGCAGCTAGAGGCCCCGGTGCAGTGGCCAGGTGGACCCTCACTGACTGGAGGTGGACGAGGACTGGCCCTGCAGCGGGGCCCGGCATCCCAGGACAGCTGGGCCAAAAGTGGGCTGCTGTGGTGTGGGGGGCTGGAGCAGGGTGCTGCGTGGGGTCTGGCTGGCTGGTGCCTGCGCTGTGGTTCAGGTCGGCACGTTAGCTTCTGGTTAACCAAGTCACGTTGTTTGGCCTGTTAGTGGCATTTGTCACTGCAGAGGAACTGGAACCGGCATCTGCTGGTCCTGTGCAGATGGAGGGCATGATAACGAATTCCCCTGTCAGCACTGTGGTGAAATGCAATCGCTGCTCAGCACGCCCACCTGGCCCATGAGTGGGCGCCGTCCCAGCCACTGGCCGGCTGGCACGTCTGCTCGTGATCTCCTGCCCCCGCCCGGAAAGTCCCAGTCTGCCAGCGCGTGGCCTGGTCCACCTTAGGGAACTCTGCCAGCGGAGGCAGGACTCTGACAGGGAGCCCTGGTGTCGAAGCAGAAAATGGAAGCTTCATTCCTTTGGATGCTGACCCACAACGAATTAAAGCACAGCAGCAGCCCCATCACCCCATAGCAGCCCTGGGTGTGCAGCTGCAGCCCCAGCACCCTGTAGGAGCCCCAGCACCCCGTAGGAGCCCCAGCACCCCGTAGGAGCCCTGGGTGAGCAGCTGCAGCCCCAGCACCCCGTAGCAGCTCTGGGTGCACAGCTGCAGCCCCAGCACACTGTAGGAGCTCTGGGTGCGCAGCCCCAGCACCCCATAGCAGCTCTGGGAACGTAGCTGCAGCACCCCGTAGGAGCCCTGGGTGAGCAGCTGCAGCCCCAGCACCCCGTAGCAGCTCTGGGAACGTAGCTGCAGCACCCTGTAGGAGCCCTGGGTGCACAGCAGCAGCCCCAGCACACTGTAGCAGCTCTGGGTGCGCAGCTGCAGCCCCAGCACCCCGTAGGAGCCCTGGATGCGCAGCCCCAGCACTCCATAGCAGCTCTGGGAACGTAGCTGCAGCACCCTGTAGGAGCCCTGGGTGAGCAGCTGCAGCCCCAGCACCCCGTAGCAGCTCTGGGTGCGCAGCTGCAGCCCC